CTGTGCAAAGACAAATAGGATACACTGTTGGAATCTTAGAGAAACTTCAAATCTCTTCATGGTAATTTTTTTGAAGAGCTGTTGCAACAGTGAGTATAAGGGAGCAAATATGTGAATTTATAACTTTATTACTTTTAGTCCAGCATCAGAGTCATAATGTTATTTATTAAAGTCATTTCCATGTATGGATATTAAGGAAGATATTATTCCCTACAGCATTACTAATGTGCTGCTATTAACACTTAAAATCTATTATATAGGGCTGCTGTGAGTTTGATCTTCAGGGTATTAAAAACTGTACTTTAAAAAGAAAGAGACTCTCTCAAGGAAGAGAGTGTATAATAAACTCAGCAGTGTAATAAACAAATTGTTTATAGAAACAAATCAGAAAATATAAACTGAAAAATATCAAAATGGAAATATTTTTGTAAAAACCTGAAATCTCTGCAAATTATATGTGTGTGCTCTTTAGCCAGAGACATCTCATCTTGACAAAGATCATTAGCACTTCAACTTTTAATCATATGAGGTGCAAGAATCCCTTTTGCAATTGGGGACATGCAGCCAGCCCTGGCATGGAGTGTGGCAACCACTAAGTAGCAAGGCAAACAGCAGTCCCAATTTATTCATCACCCAAAATCTAGGAAAGGATGGCCAGAGAAGTCCTATAAACCTAATTCCCTGATCTGCATGAAAAGTTTCAGTCTGGATTTCTGACATTTGAAAATTACCCAACCCTGGTTAGTTTACAAGAGAAGATGAACACAGGAGGAAGGATCATCTCCTGCTGTACTTCTATTTAACTCATCAGAACACTTGGAGAGATGTTGAGGCTGGAAAGTTCTGGGACCTCTAAGAAGCAGCATGAGATGGTACTTCACTGATTTGCTATGTGCCCTTCATCAGCTCATACCTGCTTTTACCTCTCTCCTGTTGTAAGTGCCCTTAGGTGTATTTTGGTGTTTTACCCATTTTGCCAAATAGTTATCAGCATCTCAACTGGATGCTTTGAGAGAGCCAATTAATTAACATTAGTGAAGCATTTGGTATTCTTGGATAAAAGACATTACAGAAAAACAAATTATTACCCCTTCTGTTGCAAATCAGGATTTCCACTCTGTTCCTAAACACTTGTATTATCTAAGGCCGATAGCTAAAACCAACAGCTCATAAAAAAAAGAAGTAGTAAGATACAGTTGCCTGAGGGCATCTTTAATTAGAGATGATCTTTCCTTTTCAGATGAAAAGACATCTACAGTGAACAATTTCACTAGCCAAGAAACAATAAAGAAAAGGCTTCCCATGATAAGTTAAATAGGAGGTAATTACTTTGTGGATAGAGGAGGGAAGAAGCCTGAGAAAAGCATCCCACTTGTAAGCCACTCAGGTTATGAAGGAAGCCAAAGACCTACAGCTCCATTAAGAACCAGAAGTTAGAGGTCTTTATCTCAGCTGTGCTACAGTTGAGAAAGTTATTTAATCATTTGGTTTCCCAGGTGGGTTTCCTTTTCCACTGTCTGCAACTGTGCCTTTGTAGCACAAACCCTATTTAAAATGGTGTGATTGTCGTTCCTCTGAGCTTCCCATCCTCAGCTCCTCTGCCAACAACCCCTGGTGCTGCCTGGGGAGATGTGCACACAAGCCCAGTAACTGTGTGCAACAGAGTAAACCCGGCCTCCCATTAATTTTAACCAGCTGGTGAAAACTGAGCTGTCTCTGCTCTTGTCTCTTCATTGTTTAGAAACAGGGCTGGTTGTGAGTTACTGTTCTTGCAGATGGAGGGGAAATTTGTGCCTCCAGTAATGTCTGTGGAATGAGGCTGCCTGGAGTGGCCACGCTGTGGCTCAGCAGAGGACACTCTGGCAGGGAGTGCTGGGAGTTTTCCACAGCCTTTACCCGCTATCAGGACATCAACCTTTTTCCATTCACTCATCCTTTCTGCTGCTCTGTGGTTTCCTGTGCTTGTTCTGGGGCGAATTTCCTTCCATCCACAACTTTGTCATGCAGCTTTTACTTCAGGAGGCAGGAGGTTTGCCTTGATTTGGTAGCTGTGAACTGCTGAGGACACAAAAAAAAGCACTAATATCTATCACCCTATGTTTCCCAAAGCCCTACCTATTCTTTCTGCTGCCACAGCTGAGACATCTGAAAAATCTGCCAGTTCAGCTTATCAGGTACCAGGAAATATTTGCTGAAAACTAATTTTACCAGTCTCCTATTGCTTTGGCAGCCTGAGAGTATGAGCACCAGGGTCTCCAACAACACGTGGAGGACCAGGTTTCTTGCAGAGCTGCCTTGGAGCTTGGCAGCCTGGCTGAGCACAACTTCCAGAGGTGTTCTCACTGCTCACCTCAGCCTTTACTGTGCCACTCAGGATCAGATCCGAGCAGAAGATGTGAGTCTTTTTCTGATGCAGCTGGATTCCTCTGGCTGTTAGCAAATTATTCTGACTGATGTGACTCCATCTGGCACCAGGATTAATTTGAATCCTGTGGAGTTTTTTGCTGTTGTGAAAACTTAGCTTAACTAAATATTTCTCACAGCAAGGTACCCTAGTGGGGTGATATTTCACTTACCCAGCATAATGTACAAATTAATCCTGCAAAATGAGGCTCTGATCCTACAAGAGGTTCCTAAGAGAAGTTTTGTTTTCCGTGCTAGTTCTGATGGAAGCCAGCTGGGCTGTGGAGAGGTGCAGAGAGGTTGCTCATTCAGCTGTGGCTATGATCCTGGTAGTCAGCATTAGAATTAATTGGAAGTACCAATTTCTCTCATTTTTATGCTTGTTTGTAGTTTTTAAGGCAAAGCTTTTGGAAAACTTCCAGAGAGAACGTAACCTGCACATCTCTGCTTTGTTGAATAAACAAATGAATGTATTTGAGGCTTCTGATGACAAATTCAGATACCAGTTTCTACTAAAAAAAGCATCTCTCAATAGTGATTCTGTAACACTTGTGGATCAAAGACTCAGCTCAGGTTCCTTTGCGTGTTACATAATTGTGTTTTAATCATTGGGTTTAGATTTTTAAAACAGACACAACTTAAAAGAAAACAGACAGTGATGAAAATGTCTGTTCCAAGGGCTTTAGTTTGTCCTCTGGACCTACTGTTGGAAAAAAATGCCAGATCTGGAGAAGGAACTGCTCCCTGATTCTAAGATTAACTCTTCTTTGCATTCAGGGACAAGGGCAGTCAGGGACATTCCTTTCATTCCTCCACAAAGACTAGAAGGGCAAACTTGTGTCCCCCAGATTTCTGGGTCAGTTAAGCTGATGAAAAATCGTGGCTTTCTTAATGCAGGATTATAGATAGCTTTATAGGCTACATGACTCTTGGCCTACTTAGTCACGAACTTGGTGGTTTCACCATTTAATCACAAAAGGCACCATGAATTCAGCAGGTATGACAATGACCCAGTGACAACTCACACACTGCTGCTGTTTTCTTTGCAGTCAGAAAATAAGACACCGGGGCACTTTGTTGCACTTCGAAAGCAATTATTTCACCTGAAGGCTGCCAAGGAGGATTCCTTTGTAGAATCCTTCCTCCTCTTCATCTCCTCTTCATTCCTTCAACAATGCCACCATTCAAAGTCATTATAGTTTGAACATAAACTAGATCAAATCATTATAGTATGTCACTGATGTCCAGCTTCCTCTGGAAGGGGAAGGCTGTGAAGCACAAGCAGCCCCTTCTGAGATCAGGAGACTCCATGTGTTGAAGCCTGTGGTACTGTGACATGAAATTGTGTCATTAACACCCAAACACAGCCACCATTTGAGCCTTCTTGGCACTGTCACTCCCTCAGGCAGGTAGGAAACCAGAGCAACGTGCCTGCCAGATACCCCAACCGAGCTATGATTTGATGTGGCTGGAACTCGAGGTGGAACTGATTTGTGTAAAACTTCCTTTGGTTTGAATCCCTGCAGGGTGTACTTAAAATCCCGTAAATCAGAGCAAATCTACGAACTACAGCTCTGGCAAAACCACAAGTTTTTGCTGTGGCTCTCCCCACACACAGGTCCATGTGCTGACAGAAGGGGTGATGCTTCCCAGTGGCCTTCCATCTCCTCCGGCACTGGAGCAGCTGGAGCAGCACCGTGTCTCCTTGAGTAACAGCACCTTGGCTGGACACGTGTGGATGTGCTCCTGCTCCACCTGCACCTTCCTGGTAGGCATGAAGTGTGTGTGGGGCTGCCTGCCTGCTCCTCCCTTGTTTCCCTGGCTGCAGCAGGGAAGGGGCCCCTCAGCTGGGCTGTAAGAGAGAGATTATCAAACTATTAGAGAGCGTCCAAAGGAGAGCAATGAAGGTGGTGAAGGGAAGCTGTGTGAGGAGTATGAGGAGCTGTATGGTGTGTTCAGCTGGAGCAGAGGAGGCAGAGGGCAGACCTCATTGTAGTTCCAGCTTCCTGGGAAGGGGCAGAGGAGGGGCAGGGACTGAGCTCTGCTCTGGGGGGACCAGGGACAGCACCCAGGGAATGGCTGGAGCTGTGTCAGGGCAGGGGCAGGGTAGATCTCAGGAAAAGGTTCTTCCCCCAGAGGGTGGTTGGGCACTGTCCAGGCTCCCCAGGGCAGTGGGCACAGCCTCAAGGCTGCCAGAGCTCAGGGAGGGTTTGGCTGATCCTCTGGGGCACAGGGGGTGACTCTGGGGGATGGTCCTGTGCAGGGCCAGGAGCTGGACTCGATGAACCTTGTGGGTCCCTTCCAGCTCAGCACATCCCGTGATTCTGTGACAAGCCGGGGGCTGCCACGACAATGCCCGGCCGGAGCGGGCACAGTCCCCGCCGCCACCCTCTCCCAGCCGCGGGTGTCCGGGCGTGCCCTGCCGGGGCGGGGCCGGGCAGAAGGGGGATTTCTGCGGTCCTGCTGTATCGGCGGGTCCCTCCCCGTGCCCCTCCCGGCGGCGGGGGCGTCCCCGGCCCGCCCGTCCCCGCCCCGCCGGCGCGGCTGCCGCGTTCAGCATCGCTGGGAGCCCCGAGCAGCGCTCCGAGCCCCGGGGACACGGCTCGGCAGGGCAGGGCCCCCCGGCGCCCCCCGCACCCTCCCGGGCTGTAGGGAGGGCGCTCCGGCTCCTGCCCCCGGCGGCGCTGCCCGGGGTCGTGCGCGGTGAGTGGGGCTCGGGGGGAACCGGGCGATGCCACCGCCGGCTCTGCGAGCCCCGCAGAACTGGGGGCAGGCAAAGAGGGTCTGACCCTGTGCCCTTCCCCACGGGGCTCGGGGAGCGGCCCCGGGGACCTCCTGGTGATCGGGGTGGGCTCGGGGGGCTCCCGGCTTTGTTCGCGGCGGTGGAGCGCAGCCCTGGCAGCGCTCCGATGGTCCCTGTGGATGCTGGAGCTCGGGCTCGCAGGTTCTGCTCCCTGCGTGAGTATTCAATCGGTGTTTGTGCAGACGCTGCTCTCCTTCTCTTCCAGCCTGAAATAGCGAGCTCAGGTAGCTGGAGTTGGCTCCCGATGTGATTCCTGGGGGCTGGGAGCTGTGAGCCTTGTTCGCGCAAGTAAGACCTCTGTGCCTGAGCGAGATGGTTTTTGCAGGATGATTTTGCATGTTTCCACCCTGGAGTGCGCGATCTCCGACAGCTCCTGCAGGAGATGGGCTTGTCCCTTTCTCTATGTTTGCGTGTGTGCGGTCCCTGTTAATTTTGGCAGCTCGTAAGCGATGGTTGGTAGAGGTCCGGCGTCTTCGTGTTCTTCAGGAATACATCGAAGTGGATGTGTGCCAGTGTTTTGATACTGTAAAAGCCACAAGAGCCTTAGAAAAAGGTTCGAGGAAATGATTTAGCTCTTCTGATGTTCATCGTTTCCAGGCAGTGTACTTGTAGGCATCTCACGGTAAATTGCAGGAAACAATGTGTTTACTAACACGTTGATGAATAATGGAAAGACAGGTCTAAAGCTAAATGTTGATGCTTCATTTAAAATAAATACTTGTAATTTATTCTGTCTCACGCACCTATTAGCTTTTAGGGAAAAGACGACTATTAGGTGGTGATTAGGCAGCTTTCTTACAACTTGAATAAAATAAGTAGTTCAGTATAGGAGAGCTGTAGGATAATGGACCCACCTGGCATCTAGTGCAGAGCTGGATGTGGAGCTGTGGTGCTGCCTGGCAAAACTGTTCTTTGTAACTTCTGTAGCCAAAGTGGAGGTAAAACTTTGTTCTGGGAGTCAGGTGAATACTCTTGATTCCTCTGGGGTAGGCGAGTAATATGGGACTTACTATAGAACACATATGGACAGGGGTTTCATATTTATAGCATACACCATTGATTGAATGACTTAATACTTCATCCTTTCTCATCAGTAATCTAATTAGGGGAAGACTCTGGAAGGAATATGGAATTTAGACACATTCCCATTGGATGCACAGCAAAAAAGACATTACAGAGCAGACAGTGTAAGAGGAGTTCCCAGAAGTACTTGCTCATAACCTGAGACAGAGCCAGGTTTCAAACTCTCCTAGACCTGTGCTTACACTCCAGAGAAAATTGCTGGATTTTCAGGCCTTTCTTTTCAGTTTTCAGAGTCTTATACCCAGAGTGCTTTGGGGGACAGTGAGGGAGATGTGTATGTGTAACCCAAGGTCTGAATCTTCAGAAAATGAAGCCCCGAGCACTTCAAAAAATCCGAGCCTTGGGTTGCAGTCAGACCTCCTACCACTTCCATTCTGGAGGCATTTCCTTTTAATTTTTACAACAGATAGAATTATAGTTGTAAATTCTAGCTGCGATAAAGCACGCCAGTAAAATTGCTTTAATTTTTTTTTCAGTATAGAAGCCATCAGGATTAATGAACAGCTCTGTAAATGCATATGGAAAAAAAATGCAAGATCAGTAACAGAACTCAATGTGGCACCTAATCTCAGAACAAAAGTGATAGGTAGTGGCTAAAAATAGTATTTCCTCTTTCAACAATAGAGTTAAATATTGCAATGGATGTAAACTGCAGTAAGGTGGATGGGTCCAGAGCTGGAGGCTTGATCACTTGTGCCTGCTGACCTTTCGACCTGCTTCTTTATTTTCCTTTAAAGTATCACTCTTGCACGTGGGTTTGATAATAAACCGCAAATGCAACCCAAAAAGCTGGTGTTTAAAGGGAGGATTGGAGGTTCTGCTGCTGCTGCATGGAGGCACTGTAATTTCTAGAATGTGTTCTGATCTCGTGGAGCTCAGCACAAACTGCTGAGCTGTGCTCGGGTCGTGCCTGGGTCTGCACGAGTGGCTGGTCCCACGTGTGGGCAACAACATCCTCCCACCAGCAGGAAAACCATGAGCTCTGGTTCTGATCACTGAGCCCTGTTTGAAGTGGTCCAACGTCACTGCTCGAGAGATGCCTTGGTAATAAGGTCAGTGAAAAACTCGCCCCTCCAACAGCCCTGTCACAGCCTCTCAAGGAACTGTTGAGTTATGAGAGCTGGTAATTATCTGCCTTCATCTGTGGCCCGGGACTCATTGACACTGAGCACAAAGAGGAGGGGCAGATGACAAATCCTTGGCCAGCAGCACATCCTCTCCGAGGTGTTTGCTTCTCCCCTGGTTCCTCAGGATACCACTGGCAAGTTCGGGGTGTGGATAAAACAGTGATTAATTATCTAGTGCTCATTTAGCCCCTGGAAGATGGAAAATACTATGTGGGGATGATTTGAATCAAGTGCTGTCATTCCCTGCTATTAAAGAAATTGCTTGCCTGCTCTGCGTCTCAGGTTGGAGTCGTAGGCGATTTTAAAGCATTATTTAAACTGTGGTTTAGATTTGTTTAGGTTTGTTTTATCAGAGGGGCCTGGGAAAGTCTTTCAGTAGGAAAAAATAATAGGTAAAGATTTTCTTGTTTCGGCCTTTTTTTTTTTTTTAGTAGTTGCAAAATCTCTGTGTTAGGGAAGGAGGAAAAGGGAGTTGAATGGAACCGAGCGAGGAGCTGTTGTGTGAGGTAAAATTCTGATATTGTTCTCACATGCCACCCTGCAAATACATTTGCATTTAAAATTTCCAGGCGAGCCAAAGCGTAAGACCGGTGCAGAATGCTAAACAAAACCTGACAGCTAACTCTGAAAACACCACACAGCCGGGCTGGGCATTCCTTTGCTTGGACAATTGAGTTGGAAATCTGTTTCTTTTAATGATTATGGATCTGAAACAAAGACAGAGTCTGACAAAAATGAGATGTCAGTTTTATTCTGAGCTGTTTTCAGTGGCAAGATGTTTACTTTCTGTCACGTTTCCCTGTGACTGTTTGAAAACTCTCAGGAACTGTAAACCCCAAGCCCCTTTCTGCCCATCAGATAGCCACAATATCCTCCTTTGTGTCGCTCAGGCTGAAATTCAATCTGCTTGGGAGGCTGAGGAGTGGTTTGGGGCACAGTGGTGATCCCAGAGATATTGGATATCACCACAGGGGTACCCTTATGTTGATGGTGTGAGCAGACAAAGCAGCAGCTCTTTTGGGGAATGTGGTGAAGCTTCTCCTGGACCAGAGGAAGACATTTCTGCTCGGGGTGGTGTGATAGAGAAGCTGGGGTGATGCCAACTGAGGAGGGAACAAAGCTCAGTGGGTTTTACCTTTTTATGTGTGAAACTCGTGTGTCTGCAGTTATTGGCAATAAGCTGTCCCTGGGCAGGCGGAGCACTGGTGCAGAACAATCTGAGGAGACTGAGGAGTGGGAATGGGAAAAGGAAATGAGTGATGGGTTAACGAGTGAACTGGGTGGGAAGGAGCACCCGCAGTCACGGGGCTGGAACAAATGGAGGGCCCGTGGTCGGGCAGGGCTGCAGGGAAGCAGTGACACGACACAGCTCAGTTGGCCGTGATATTCCAGTTATGAATGGAAGAATAACAAGCTTTACATGTGCAGTGTGGGTGCATCTGGCTCCCTGGCTTAAATATGGGGACACCTGCCCTTCAGAAGTTTCTGAGGGAAGGGAAAGAGCTGGTTAGGAGAGCAAAGGGGCATTTCTGGGGAGTGATTAAAAATGCTTGATGTAGATAATCTAAGAAGCAAAGACACCAGAACTTTCAGGTGTGGGTACTCAATAATCTCTTAGCCTTTGCAAGAGGGTGCAACTAGATTTCACTTAGAGAGGGTAACTTGAACATCAAGAAAAGCTACTTGGAATGAAGCTAAATAATCTTCCCTGAAAAATGCTGGTTGAGTTGTTGGTCGGGGTTGTGTAAAAGCTCACAGAGAGCCCTGGAAGATGTTCTGCAGGGCTCAGGGTCACATCTCCCCTGGCCTAGAGCCCAGAGGTCAGGGTGGAGGTTTTGGAAACAAGGCTCTGGAGTCAGCAGGGCAGCTCCTCTGCTCAGCTGCCCGCTGTGGTCTGCTGGAAGGGACCATCATTCCCTGCTGCCTCCTGTATGGAAGGAGATGGACTGGATGAAGGAATAAATATTATTCCATCCTTAGCCACCGATCCAGGAGATATTTGATCACTTATCTTGCTGGCAGCTGGCTCTTGGGCCATTATACTTTAGAACAAATGCCGTTCTGATCATGTGGAGAGGGAATATGGGAATAGGGAAGTGATGGAAGACACTCCTGTGGTGAGCTCAGCAGGCCAGGCTGGAAATATGGCTGGGTTTGCACTGACTCTGTTAATTTGTGTCCTTGGACCCATGTGGGATTCTCCTCTTGAGGAAAAGCTGGAAAGCAGCAGGCTCAGGGTGTTTTCCTGCTTTATGTTCCAGCCATTATTCGTGGGAAAAAAAAAATTAATGGATATTCTTGGATATTCTTGCCTCTTCCTTTGCTGAGACTAAACACAACACTGAGTTCTTGCCTAAGTTATAAGGGTTGTGCAGCTCTGCTGAAGTTGTAGGTGATGCATAAAGGGATTGGAAGGGCTGAGGGCCATGATCCAAAATGTGGGAGGTGCTGCAGCTTTGGGTCAGGCCCAGCAGGTCTTCAGTCCAAGGTCTCACCTTTGCTTGTGTTTGGATTTAATCACTTGCTTTGAGATTATTTTTTAGAATGTGGTTCCAAGAATATAAAGATGTTGCAATTTTGAACTTGGTTGTTTGTTATGGTGTTAGTGTGTGCTGGTTTTCTCTCTTCATATTCAAGGTGGGTCAGCTCATGAAAAGCCTGAAGGGACCCCTGAGTGGTTTGGTGCCATA